CCCGGTCCAAGTCAACAGAGAGGTGAGGGGTGTTACAGGGGGCTCCCCAGCTTTTTAGGGAAGAGCTCTGCCGCTCTCACGTGTCCATAGCGGCCCCACGAAGGGGCGGGGGCGGGTGGTTGGGCTGGGGGCGACGCTGTGACTGCCCCGTTCCGCAGGGATCGCCGGCACAAAGAGCGCGACCGGGACCGGAGCAAGAAGGACCGGGACCGGGAGAAGGATGGGCACCGGCGGGACAAGGACAGGAAGCGGTCGAGGTGAGCCCCCTCTCTTTTCGGGGTGTCCGTGCTCTCCCGTAAGCACCCCAGCGCTGTTCCCTGTAGGAAGCATTGTCCTGGGTGAGAGCGGGATTCCCCCAGTCCGTGGGGACGGGGTGACCCTGGGGCTGTGTTCGGTGCCTGATTCCTCTTTGTTTTGCTGGGAAGCTTGTCCCCGAGCAGGGGCAAGGACTCAAAGTCCCGGAAGGAGCGGGACTCACGGAAAGCAGAGGAGGAGGAGGAGAATGCCCTGAAGAAGGAGAAGGTGAGGAGGGGGCAGAGGGGGCTTGGCCGGGAACGGCTCCCGGGGGGGATCGCTCTGGTGAGGCAAAAGGTCCCTGCTGGGGGCTGCTAACGGTCCGGCCCCGCATTTGCAGGCCCAGCCCCTGTCCTTGGAGGAGCTGCTGGCTAAGAAGAAGGCTGAAGAGGAGGCAGAAGCCAAGGTAGGAGCAGAAACCTTCTCCCTGTGTCGGGGCTCTCCCATACCACAGGCGCGGTACGGGATGGATGTTTGAGGGGGGAGTCCTGTCCTGGGGCAGCCCCGGCTGCGAGGGGGTCGCTGCCCGGCCCGGTGCGAGCCTTCCTCTCTCCTGTCCCAGCCCAAGTTCCTGTCCAAGGCGGAGCGGGAGGCCGAGGCCTTGCGGCGGCGGCAGCAGGAGGTGGAGGAGCGACAGCGGCTGCTGGAGGAGGAGAGGAAGAAGAGGAAGCAGTTCCAGGAGATGGGGAGGAAGATGCTGGGTAAGGTGTCGTCCCCACCGCGGTCTGCCTGGCTGTGAGGGGCTGAGGCAGGACCTCCTGGAGACCCCCAGCCCTGGGCGGGGGTTGCTTGGCTCTGAGACCCTTCCCCTGCTCCCCAGAAGACCCCCAGGAGCGTGAGCGCAGGGAGCGCCGCGAGCGCATGGAGCGGGAGACCAACGGCACGGAGGATGAGGAGGGCAGGCAGAAGATCCGTGAGGAGAAGGACAAGAGCAAAGAGCTCCACGCCATCAAGGTAGCACTGGGGGCCGGGCTGAGGCGATGGTGGGGGAGCCGGGAGCCCCGGGTTCCCTCCCCGCTGATCCTCCGCTGCCCGCAGGAGCGTTACCTGGGAGGAGTGAAGAAGCGGAGACGCACGCGGCACCTGAACGACCGCAAGTTCGTCTTTGAGTGGGATGCATCAGAAGACACCTCCATCGACTACAACCCCCTGTGAGTGATGGGGTGTCCCTGGGGCTGGGGGTGCTCCTGGGGACGTGGGGCAGCCCCGGCTCTGCCCCTGACGCTCCCGCCCTGCTCTAGGTACAAGGAGCGGCACCAAGTGCAGCTGCTGGGCCGGGGCTTCATCGCGGGGATCGACCTGAAGCAGCAGAAACGGGAACAGTCGCGCTTCTACGGGGACCTGATGGAGAAGAGGCGGACGCTGGAGGAGAAGGAGCAGGAGGAGTGAGTGCGCGTGGGGGGAGCTGGGAGGGCGCCGAGGGGTGTTTGGGGTGCTGGCTGCCTCTGCTTGTCAGGGGTGCGGAGCTCGGGGGGTGGCTCTGGGCTGCAGCACGTCCTTCGGATGGGTGGCAGGATGATTCCAGCCTCCCCAGAGGCACGGGGTGAGCCCTGTCCCCTTCCTCGCCCCCACCCAGGGCCCGGCTGCGGAAGCTGCGGAAGAAGGAGGCCAAGCAGCGCTGGGACGACCGGCACTGGTCCCAGAAGAAGCTGGACGAGATGACAGACAGGGACTGGCGCATCTTCCGCGAGGACTACAGCATCACCACCAAGGGGGGCAAGATCCCCAACCCCATCCGCTCCTGGAAGGACTCCTCCCTGCCCCCCCACATCCTGGAAGTCATCGACAAGTGCGGCTACAAGGTGGGCACGGGGAGGGGGGGCTGCTGCCGGCAGACCCCGGTGGCCCTCGGGGGAGCTGGGTGGAGGGGAAAAGGGCTGGCTCTTGGAGTCAGGTCTTTGGGGGGGGGTGAGGAGGGGAAGTTCTGCTCCCAAACCTGCCGCTCCCCTCGCCAGGAGCCCACCCCCATCCAGCGCCAGGCCATCCCCATCGGCCTGCAGAACCGCGACATCATCGGCGTGGCCGAGACCGGC